TAGGTCAACACCGTCATGACAGCGGCTCCGTTCCGTGGCTAAACTAATTGAAACTCCGAAAACTGGCTGTACGTCGCCCAATTCAAGTACTTCCACAGATACATTGTTTACTTGTTTTGCCTTCTTGTCCTTTTTGTCTTTATCCTTTTCTTTATCTTTTGATTTTTCCTTCTTTTCTTTTTCCTTGCGCTCCTTATCTTTCTTCTTATGATCCTTTTCTTTTTCAGTCTTTACCTTTTCCTGCGGTTTTTCATCTTCCCGTGCCTCCTTCTCCGACTTTTCCTTATCACGCGACTTTTCACGCTTCTCTTTACTTTTTGAAGAAGCAAATTTGAATGCCTTTGATTTTTTGGATTTCGATGGACTTCTACAGAGACATAAAAAAATATCATACTTTTCCACAGACAGAAAACTTACTTGGCATCCAAATCCTCCTCTGGAGAGCTTTCTCCCTCCAACGCCGCATAACCGCGGTCTTTGCCTTTATCTTTCTTGTCCTTTCTTCTACCAATGAGCAAGTCCTTTTTACTTAATTTATCATGGTCGCTTTCGCTATCTGCAAACATATTTGATTTTCTTATTAAACAGATTTAATTTATTTTCAATTTGCAAAATGCCGACTTACAATCGCTATCTTCTTTGCTCTTTTTCGATTTTCCATCTCCACCCTCAGAGGCATACAGCCCAGGAAAATCTTTTTCCACATCCGGACTGTCGAAATCCATTATTTATTTACGGTCTGAGTGTTTTATTTATTAATAAATAAACAAGAAAATTATTTACCGTAGAGAACTTCACAGTTTACATTTTTCTCATTTGTCAACAGAACAGCTGTTAATTGACAACATCGCTCCCAATAATCGATGAAAGTTTTATCGGGCACAGTGCAGCAAACACGTAAAGGCATAGAACAAAAGGAGCCCACTACCCTATAAGAATTTGGTGATGGAAACTAACGTTCTCATATATCTTACTAACACATTTGCAAATTTTGCGTTGGTTAAAAAGGTTAAGGTTATAGTTAAGGCCATAAGTTGAAAGAAGATAAAATATCACATGTGTACATTTGTTTTCATCATTTTTTGCACATTGGTATTAAAAACGTCATGGGAGTGTTTGATGGATATTTCCATCTGTAGGGTAATTAAACTATATGTTTTTGCACTTGTTTAAATTCCTGAAGTTAAATTTATTGTTCCATGAATTGATTTGTTGTTGGAAAAGAAAACTTTTGATTATTAATAAATAAACTTTTAACGCGATCAAATAATAAAGAAAATTAAATTTTAAACAAAAAAATCAGCCTTATTCCATGTGAATAAATCGTTCCCATAATTTAGCCTGTTAAACAAAAACATATTGGAGTGGACTTGTCGACACTAACCGTGTAAACAGACAAAAAATATTATCGGAAAGTTTGATTTTCAGAAATAAAAACAGCTCGAAAGCCACCTAACATGCAAAGTGTAACTGCTCCTGCAATCTGTTTTGGAAATTCTTCAGTTTGACAGACTTTTGTAAAGGACTTGCACTTATCACGTCTTACAGCTACTTAACAGCATACAAATTCACCAAAATTTGACACTTCTTTTGGTCTTCAGCTTAGGATTTGTCTTAATTTTCGGCTTCGCATCGATCGTGTTAGCAATTTTAAGCTGATGCCTATTTGACTGGTGAAAATTGCTGTGGATTTCATATATTTAGTTTCAAGAATATCAGCAGTGTAATTAAATTTTATGGCCCGTAGTTAGATTCAAAATAAAGCTACTCTAAAGCTAAAAGCAGGTTTGTTGACAGATATCCCATTCAAATAAAAATTACACCAGCTGATAGTCAATGCACCCAAAAATATGGGAGTTTTCCCATGAACCAAAAATACAAGATCACGCGGGCAGGAGAGTAGCCCGTTAGAATCGCATTTAGGAAAAAAGTTTGGCTATTTTGACAATAGCAGTTTGTTTACATTCCTTCGTTGTTTACAATTTGGTGGTGGCTTTTTACAGCAATTTTCTTCATTTTTGCCTGTGACAACGTGTGTACACCTAAGGTAAAGAATAATTTAACACAACGGCATGATTTATAGAAGAATTTGCATAATAAAAATGATTATTCATGCGTTCAACAATTTCGCGGTTTTCTCCGTTTCTCTACGTTGTTTACTTCTTACAACAAAGATGGCGTCGAGATTTCGGAAGCTAGAAAATAACTTTTTTCTTTCTTTCCTTCCCGCGTGATCTTGTGTCTTTCGTTCATGGAGTTTTCCATTATCGCTTCGCGCAGCAGCTAAAACAATATATGTATGTGGCATGCGATGTGCATTTTCATAAATTTTATCTTATCTGTCAAAAAAAAAAGCGAAACAGCGTTTTTCTGCCATCAGACGAAAAATCGCTCTTAACGAAACCACAGCCTTATTTGTTGACCGACGAATTCGTCAGCTGTTGTTGTTTATGTATTTCGATAGTTGTTGGGAATCAACTTTTAACTACTCCTAGGCATTTGCGTTGCAGCATCGGTGGTGAGCGGTTGACTCTTGTGGATAGCGGATAGCAGCGGATTTTTATACAAGTGCAGTGGTGACGGTAGTTTTGCTAATTTAATACTTTTGTATTTAAATTTTTGGTTCAAGTTTATACGATCAGATTTTTGTGTTTTCTGACGTGTGTATTAATTTTGAGTGGTTCCTGGTAGCTGCAGCTTCCTGAGCGTTGCTTTTTGTGCTGTTTGGGTGAGTTTCTTGTGGCGAAAAATTTTCATACTTGGCATAGCGGTTTTTGTATAAAAGATGGCGGACGCTCAGGCGTCTGGGATGGCGTCCAAAATGGCGTGCGCATCTTTTAAGAATGCGCAGGCCAATTTGGGCAAAATCGGGAAAACTAGAAAGAAAAAGACTTGTGGCTCAGTCTCCAAGAGACCTAAGGGCGATTCTAACAGATTGGTGGAGGAGTTTAGTGATTCGAGTGAAAATATGAGTTGTGGCGAACTTCCCCCACTCAGCGGCATGCTGGTTAAGAGGGGCTCGTTAGCTAGTGTGGTACAGTCTGATAGTGTCCAGACGAATATTGAAAACGCTTTTACAGTAGTGGAAAATTCATTGGGTTCGTCTGATTTTTTGAATAGTAATGTTGGTTGCGGTTTGGATAGTGCTCAGTACAGTGCTGGTGGCCATGTTAATCATTTGAATGCAATGGCGGCTCAGGTTAGCGCTGACTCTGCTAATCAGGGTGGTGCTGGGGTTTTAAATACATCCGAAAGTAATAAGTTCAATCAAAATGAAAGTCAGAGATATAATGTTGATTTTAAGGGAGAAGCAGTTGTTCTTATGGATGCGTCTAAAAGTGGTTTATTTGAGAATAAGGGGGTGAAGAACGGCCTTTTCCTTTTCGGCAAAATTCGGAAGTTAAATATAAGTGGTCTGAAAAACATTCTTGCCATAGGAAGGTCCTTATTTAAGGTCTTCTTTTATTCGGTTAAAGATGCAAACGCAAGTCTGACTAACAATGACCTCAGGAATATGGGAATTAGAGTCTTTATTCCCAAAAGTTTTTTTGAGACCTATGGTGTGATTAGACAGGTACCTCTTGACTTTCTAGAAAGTGAAATATTTAACAACATTCAGTCGGACATTCCGGTGTCATCGGTGTCTAGAATAACTAGGAGAGATCCAAACAACAAGGAGAATTTTGTTCCTACTTTTTCGTTAAAAATTGGCTTTGAAGGAAATGTTATACCGGAGTCGGTCAGAATTTTCTGTGTCGGGTTTAGGGTGAATCATTTCTTTCCCAGGGCCAAGCAATGTTTTAAGTGTGGGCGTCTCGGCCATACGAAACTTTCTTGCAGGTCAAAGAACCGGTGCATAGTCTGTGGCAAGGAGGAATCTTGTCAGGAAAAATGCAATAGTACTAACCCTAAGTGCATTTTATGTGGTAGTAATGACCATTTATCGTTCAATAAAAATAGGTGTCCCAGCTGGGAGAAAGAAAGACAGGTCATTGAGATCATGACGGTGAAGAAGTTGTCTAAGCGTGAAGTTTTTGATAGCTACAGAAATGTGCTCGAAGGGAATAGTTTCTCAGTACTGGCCGATTATGATGAAATGTTCCCAGCTAGGGTGGGACAGGCCGAAGTGAGGCAGAATAACGAAGGTGTAGTAAATAGGAGTCTAACCAGGAGAAAATACAACGTGGTTGCCAGAGCAGCAATTAACAAGAGCAGTGAGGTCGGCAAAAAGGTTCAGCAGGCCAGGATTATAGAAAAGTCTGTGCCGGTGTATGAAAGTCCCAAGTGGGAGAGAGTGAGTGAAATTGAAAAACTTCTCAGTGAGTTGTCGGTGAAATTCAATATCGATGCTGAGGAGCCGATTTTGAAGGTGTTGGGGAATCTAATTAAAACTAACGTAGATGATAGACTTGTTGTAAATAGAAACAAAGATGACAATAAAAATTCTTCAATTTAATTGTCAGAGTCTGAAAGCCAATCGAGATTATATAGACTTTTTCATTCAGCATAATGAGATCGACATAGTGGTTCTACAAGAGATTTTCTCGTGCGGTGATATTCTTGAGGGCCATAAACTTATAAATTTTAATTTGTTATCAAAGTTCAGGGCGGATGGCTACGGGGGTGTAGCCATTGGAAGTAGGAAAAATTTACGCTTACAGAAAATCAGATACAATTCCAACTATGACATTGTTGTGGCTAAAACCACAAGCTTGCTTCAAAATTTTATTATAGTCTCTGCTTATTTTCCACCGAATTTAAACAAACATCTCTTTGACTATGAAATTAGTCGTTTATTGCTGTTTTTGGAGGGACGCGAAAACATCCTACTGTTGGGGGATTTCAATGCTAAGACCAGAAGATGGGGTAGCCCAAAGGACCTTCCTAAAGGTAAAATTCTGCTCGATGCGATTCGTAAGGCAAATTTCAAATGTTTAAACGATGGTAGTCCTACTTTTGCTACTAGCAAGAATTGTCCAGGCAGCCTTTCAGTCTTAGATCTTTCTTTTACTAACTCGAACTGTCAGTTTATGTGGAAGGTGGTCCCTGTGTTTGTCGGGGGCAGCCATCACTGGCCTATTATTATAGATTTTCCAAACGTTGCGAGCAAACCGGTTCCGTTCGTTCAAAAGCGAAAACTTAACTCGGCGCTGGCTAGAATTCACTGTAATGAGGGGGTTGATGGTATCTGTGAGGCCATAAATAAGGAGATTAAAGGAGCCACGATTGATTTAAACTCTGTAAAGGGTTCCCTCAAAGCGTGGTGGAACGAGTCATTAAAAAAACAATTTCGCCTGCTGTCGGCGTGCAGGAAGAAAGCGAGGCTGACGAACAATGTTAGAGACTTTGAGGATTTACTTAATATGGAAGAGGAGTGGAAAGCGGCTGTAAAAAAAGCAAAAGCGGACTGCTATCGGGCGAAAATTAGTGAGTTAAATGAATACCCGAATACTACAGATGCATGGAGGTTCGTTAATAGTGTAAAGGGGACTCGTAAAAGGGTTCCATGTTGGCCCAGTGATGAGCAGGCTCAATATTTAGACGTATTAAAAAACCAATGCGCAGTGCGGACCGTTGAAGTGGGTAGGGACTGTCAGGTCAGCGACAATGGGTGTATGGACGAGTCGGGGTTAGAGTTTTCGGTGGAGATGTTTGACAGCGTTTTGAAGAAAAAAAAGAAATCGGCGGGGGGCTTGGATGGCGTAACATTTGGTATGCTGAAAGGGCTGCCGGTAGACACGAAGGAGGCTTTAGTTCACGATTTTGAGAGGCATTTTTTGGAGAATAGAGTTAGAGAGGAGTGGAGGAAGATCAAGATCGTACCTATTCCTAAGCATGGGAAGGATCTTAATGATATTCAGAATTTCAGACCTATATCGCTTCTTTCAGTGTTTGTGAA